ATCACTACGGATAACTCTTAAATTCAAAAACACTATTATCAAACCAAAATAATCTTTTTCGATAAAATAACTAATACACAGAGGACAGAGAAACATTATTTTAATTATTTATTATTTTTAATATTTTGAAATACCGAACAAACCCTTCATTAATAACCACCGTCAGATCAACTTAAAAAATGGACGGTGATTAAAGTGGTTATCACGGTGCTAACTCCTATGAAGTTAGCACTCTAACCTCTCCCTTACATGAAATCAAAAGAATAATTAATTGTAACATCCCGAACCTTTTCCCGACAAGATATTGTCCGCTTTGGGCCTCCACCCGGACGGATTTCGACTTGGGGTGCAATTCAAGTTGACTTCACATAAGGTCACACATCATTGTTGTACTCCAAACTGAGCACGTGTAACTTCGAAGTTCTCACAAGAACTCTTCAATTTCATCCCAAAACACGTCTTGTCAGTTAAGGCCGGTTTCTTATTTATGAACCATGGATCTCTCCCGTGCTTTGTCATCTGGGACTCGCCTAAGGCGTTACATTAATAGTGGAGTTTTATAGCCTTTCATCGTTCAATATTTTCCTGTCTTGTCCTTAATTTTTGCCCGGGCTAATTTTGTCCATTCATTCCCTTAATTTTCTATCTTCTTGCCCAATTGCGGTCGTTTTTTCCTGCAAATTTGGGAGAGCGGATCCCATGACTAAGGGGGGTCCTTAGTCACTTGACTAAGCCCCTCCTAGCGATTAGATCTGGACACTTCAATCCAATGGTTAAAAAGTGGGAAGGGCTATTTAATTAATGATAGGGGTAGTTTGGGTATTATGGAAAATTACGAAGTATACAAACCGGATTTACAAATAGTACAAACCATACAAACATACGAACAGTACAAACTAAAGCGACAAAACATACAAACAGATTTACAAACATTACAAACGTATGAACTGTACAAACAATACAAACTAGACTGACAAACAATACAAACCATACAAAAAGAAAAAACAACCGGGTGGACTTTGGAGGCTCCATCCCTATATAGATGAGCTCCTTCTCAAAGTCAATCCGGGTGTTTTTTAGACATACAAACATTACGAACATGGTGGACAAAAATGACAAACTAGACCGACAATCCATACGAACGGGAAAAAACACCTGGGTTGACTTTGGAGGCTTCATCCCTATATAGAGAAGTTCCATCCAAAAGTCAACCAGGTTGTTTTTTAGACATAAAAAACATTACAAACATGGTTGACAAAAATGATAAACATTGTGCACAAAAATAACAAAGTTTACAAACATTACAAAATAACAAAGCGTACAAACATTACAAAATATGTCAACAAACATCACAAAATTGGCACTGTCGCCGGAAAATTCTTCTCCGTCAACGATGGTCGCCGAAAAAAAATTTCCGACCAGAAAAGCTTTCCGACCAGAAACTCTCTCTCTCTCTCTCTCTCTCTCTCTCACACGTGCGTGATTGGCATGGGATGGGGGAAAAAATTCCCTCCCTCCCCCTCTCTCTCGTGATTGCATGGCATGAGGAAAAAAAATCCCCTGGTCCCCCGCCGAAAAAGGGTAGTCGATCGCCTGCCTGGAAGCAATTCCCCCGCCGGAAGCGGGACGTCGGCGGGCGGAGCGGACGCGCACAAACCTGATTTTTTTAATTAATTCATAAATAAAAACTATATTTACCACCATACCCTTCATTAAACTAGATAAATCTGAACCATTGGATTTTAATGAACTTCAATGGCTGAGATTGGCTTAGTCATGTGACTAAGAGACCCCCCTTAGTCACCTGATCTTAGCCCCAAATTTGGTGTCCTCCGTCCCCCAGAAAGCCTTTTACTAAGCCCACTTGTACAGCCCAATAGAGATGTCATTTTAACTTTCTGGCCCCATGTTTATATCCGCCCAAAAGCCTAAAATTTATTTCGGGGCCGATGTTCATTTAAATATAGCTTCCCTGTTCTGCCCCTGCTAATTACCGGAAGCAACTTCATTAATTTCCACTTACAGGAATAATTTTTTTAAGGATAATATATGTTTATTTTTGGTTGGTTTGGAGAACAAGATTTGGATCATGGATTTATTGAATCCATAGATTTAGCAAAATGTTATGTTTTTTTGCTACTTTTTGTATCATGGATTGTAGCTACAAAGATTTTAAATTTCTGAAATCTATAGATATCAAATCTCTCATAATTAGAGAGATTCTACATCTTGATTTTGGAGATTTTCTCTCTCCTACTATATCTTTTTTTTTTCATTTATCCCACTAAATACCCTTACCAATAAATTCTCAATATTTTTTGACCAATCTAATTATTTTGGTTAAGGATAAACAAGTCATATAATAAAAAAAATAGAATTTCTTTTTTTATTGGATGTTAACAATCAATTACCAAACAATGAACATTTTCAAATCTTTTTTCAACAATCCACAGAGTTAAATTCTTTGGATTGTCTAGAATCTATAGATTTAAACTCCAATTTTTATTAAGTATCAACTTAATAGATTCGAAACTGGGCAGTTTAAGCAAATTTAATATCTACCCTTGAATTATTGTGACTCAATTTTTTTTGTTAAACCCGATTTATATCGTGATGATAGTTTAGTAAATGGAATGATCTGACCAAGATATGACTGATTTATGTTAGCTTATGCCCGTTTTACCAAAATATATGAATTATGCGTATATATAACCCATCTCAATACAATCTCTCTAAAATTTACATTCATATTTAATAAAATAACATATTATAAACAAAAAGTCTTTAAACACCAAGAACATAAAGTCAATTCTTCCTTTGCTAAGGCAATTAGAAGAAAACAGAGTGTAATTATTAGTTACTAGCGCATATATGGCTGGCCCATGAGCAGAAATGATGGTAATTTTTTATGAAATTAGTGTTGTGTTGGTGCTTAAGCGAATTAGAGCTGACATAAATTGCATTTATAGATTGAGTTCTTCAATTTGTAGATTCATGAATTTGATTAAATGAATTGGCAAATTTACATATTAGTTGTCGAATGGATCTCTGGATTCAAGTGATATCTAATTTTTGGACTATTATAAAAAATGTGAAAAGTTTAAGTTTGAAAGTATTATTATTGAAATTATGCACTTTGACTAACTTTCTTCTTAGAAAATATGGAAGAAGAATATTGATCTTATATATGTCACCACGGGCAAATCCATTGTTGACTTCACCACGATGCAGTGAAACGGTTATGAAAAGTTAGTTTACAAAATATAATTTTAGAATTCGAAACACATTTTACATCATAAATCCAGCCGATTTTCACCATGGTCGTTCTTTTCATCCTGCTTTTGTCCAGGTATCTATAGTTTTCTCCATACCACATTGTGCCTAAATAGTACTGTACCAATTACAAAAAAACTATTACAAGCCACAATTAATTACAAAACTATTACCAGCCACAACATAAACATATTAATTTGATCTTAGATAATGGTTCAATAAATCTGATTGTGACAAGTCGAAATTTCTGGCCAACAGGCCTGACACAAGCTAATTTGAAATGGACAAAAATACACAAAACTCTATCATATATTATTGGAGAACTGGTGAGCATCACCACAGAAATATAATTTGAGATGTCGCGAGAAGAGCATGGCCTCATGGCACGCCATGAAACTTGCTTTTGAGGTCACTCTTCAATGGCGTTAGGATTAACTTTTTGAAAGATGTTAATGAAATTTTCACTTGAAAGTCTGTTAATATTAACAAAAACAACGTCGAGATCTAAAATCTCTCTCAATTTTTTTCCCAGACTTGAAGATCTGAAAGCAAGAACCTCAAATGCTAAACCAGACATTTTTTTATACTCTTTAATGACATATATAAGACCATAGTTCATAGGGGTGACTTTTTTTGTTGTTGCCAAAAGCTCACTTACATTATCACAAAAAGAGATAAATACTTTATAGCTTAGTCCTTAACCAAGAAGAGAAATCAAAACCAAACACATTTGTATGAAACAAAGAAATGGGTTTTCTTGCCACAAATAGGTTACCCGGTTGTTCTGCCTAGCTATGAAATGGATTCTAAAATCGTTGTAATTTTGATGCCACTTCGCAATTGTTGGTGAAATTCAAAAGTTAATTAATGAAAATGATTCTTCAAATATTTACAGATGAATTTCCAAATAACACCTGCATATGTGTTGTCATATTATATGATCACCCTCAATTGATTCCTTCATACGCTAAATGCTTTAGTTGTGAATTGTGATTCAACTATCTCTCCACGTACACACACATTATTAGTATTTTATCTCAAAACCAAAAGAAATAACCCTCTGCACATAATTGATTGCTAATTCATGTTAGATTCACACTAAACAATAGTTTAACATAGTTCTCTTTCTTAAACCAATGGAAAAGCATCATAATTTATTTATTTATTTATGGAATACTAATGGTACCTCTTCAATTGTTGGTATATTACTTAACAATTTGAAGGAATACTTTACGAGAACTACGTTTATTGATTGATATGTTGCAGGTGAAATTCCTATGGAGTTGGGTTATCTAAATGCTATTCAAAAGGTGGGCCTTGCTCAAAATAGATTAAGTGGCTTAATTCCATGGACGATCTTCAACATCTCATCCATGTTGGCAATGGGTTTTTATAATAATGAATTATCAGGAAATCTCCCACCAACATTTGGCTCGCACCTTCCAAATTTGGAGTGGCTTAGTTTTGCAAGCAATAACCTCAATGGAAGCATCCCACCGTCCATCTCCAATGCTTCTAAGCTTGAAATTTTGGGACTTTCAAAAAATTTATTCTCCGATCGCGTTCCCAATACATTTGGCAATCTTCAGATGCTCCAAGTGCTTAAAATTTGGGGTAATAGTAATCTAATGGTAGATCCGTATTTTCTCACTTCTTTAACATCATGCAAGAGTTTGAAACAATTGGAGATCGCAGAGACTTCATTTGAGGGTGCATTACCACCTTCCATGGGGAATCTCTCCTCGTCTTTGCAGTATTTTGATGCATCTAACTGCAAGATACTAGGCAACATTCCAGGTGAAATAGGAAACTTGAGCAACATCTTCGCAATCGATCTTACATCCAATCGATTGACGGGGTTCATTCCATGGGAAATACATAAATCGAAGAAGCTTCAATACTTGGGCCTTTATCAGAATAAGTTACATGGAGTCATTCCGAATCAACTCTGTGAGTTACCATCATTGTTTACTTTAGATTTGGAGGACAATAATTTCTCTGGACGAATCCCAGAATGCTTCCCCAATGTGACTTCCTTAAGAGAACTTTACTTGGGATTCAATATGTTAAGCTCTGTGGTACCTTCATCATTTTGGGATCTCACCTACTTGTTGCACTTCAGTCTAGCCAGAAACAATCTGATCGGTTCTATATCTCCACAACTTGGAAACTTCAAGGACTTGATCATTATGGATTTATCAGGAAATCAGTTATCAGGTGACATTCCAGCAAGTATCGGAGGCCTTACAAACATACAAAATCTGTCTCTTGCACTGAATAATTTCCAAGGTCCCATTCCTGAAGCCATTGGGAACTTGGTCAGCCTCGAGTTCTTGGATTTGTCAGCTAATAATCTCACTAGTATCATCCCCAAAACAATGGAGTCATTGAGGTATCTGAAACAACTCAATGTCTCTCAAAATGGGTTATGGGGAGAAATTCCAAATGGCGGGCCTTTTGCAAATATGTCTTCCGAATCATTTTTGTTGAATCCTGGCCTATGTGGCTTACCCAAATTTGGAGTGCAACAATGCACACAAGGACACAACAAGCACTTTGACAAGTTACTAATTGCAGTTGTGGTTTCGATCGTCTTGTCACTAGCAATTGTTGCTTTCACTTTGACAGTAATGATACGCCGCCGAAAAAGGAGCTCGGAAGAGGTGAAGGAAGAATTATTGGCTTCAGTAACATGGAGAAGAATCTCCTTGCTCGAGCTTCAACGAGCTACTAATGGATTTGACGACTGTAACTTATTGGGAAAGGGAAGCTTTGGTCGTGTGTACAAAGGTGTTCTAGCTGATGACACCAATGTAGCGATAAAGGTGTTTGATGAATTGGAAGGAGAAGCTGATGATGATGATGATGATGATGACATATTTGGTAATGATACTGAATGTGAAGTTTTACGAAATCTCCGCCACAGAAATCTCATTAAAATTATCAGCACTTGTTACACGACTGGTTTCAAAGCATTGGTATTGGAGTTCATGCCTAACGGGAGCTTGCATAAGTGGCTATATTCGCACAACTACTTTCTCGACATTTTTAAGAGGTTTGACATTTTGATCGATGTTGCATCGGCTCTTGAATATCTACATCAAGGTTATTCCATTCCAGTTGTTCATTGTGATTTGAAGCCAAGTAATGTATTGTTGGATGGAGATCTCGTTGCTCATATAGCTGATTTCGGCATTTCCAAGTTCCTTGGAAGCGGGGATTCCATGACACGAACGTTGACCCTTGCTACAATTGGATACATGGCACCAGGTACCATATTACATGTTAAGAATTTCGCCCTTATAATGTCACCATAAAGGATTATTGATTTCACATGCAAGCTGTTTAATGCACTGCAGAGTTTGGCATGGAGGGAATAGTGTCAACAAAGAGCGATGTGTACAGTTTTGGAATTCTTGTGATGGAAGTGTTCACTAGAAGAAACCCGACAGAAGAATCATTTCAAGAGGGGATGAGCATGAAGCAATGGGTTACGACATTAGTGCCCGAGGGAGTCACGAAGTATGCTGATGCAAATCTAATGAATTGCAACAGTAATAGGGATTTTAAGTCTAGAGAAAATTGCATATCTTCAATTATGAAACTAGCGTTAGAATGTTGTGCCGATACACCAAGGGATAGGTTGGCCATCAATGACGTACTTGCCAATCTCAAAAAGATTAAGTCGCAATTGCTACTAGATCTTCGTCATCGATCATGAAAACTAGACAGGAATAAATGTAGGGATTGTTTTAGCATTCGGGTGATTTATTGAATACATTCTAAGCTTTGTTTATGGCTAATCACATGTTTCAACTTTCAGTTGTCACTCAAATCCTCAAACACATCTACTGATGCTGCAGGTAATCCTGCTTCTCATTAAAACTATGTGATGTAGTTTTCCCACCTCTATTTATCCATGGTCCTTCACCTATTCTCTCTCGACTGCTCGTCTCGTGCCTTATATTTTATCAATTGAGAAGCGTGAATTACAGAGGCGCGTAAACAACTAAGTCTGATTCACTTTTTGTGTCTGCTTCACTGCAGTATGCTGTGTTGTTTGGATCATAGACTGGACTTTGTTAATGGTTCTGTTTCATGTTTTATTCAATTCAATTCAACCCATGGTCCATGGATTGTCATCAATATCGGTGCAGATTGAATATGATTCTGAGATGTGTGGAATCAGATTAAAAGATTTTATGCATGGTGGTGAGGACGATGAGCAAATCTAGAATATTAGGCCTGTTTTTTCCCACTAAAGACTATCCTTATTTTCCTCTACATGGATTCACTGTGACAAGCTGACTTGCTTCGTTTACTCCTTTGTCTGCTTCTTTTCTGCATTTCCTTGTTGTAAATTCTAGGAACAGATGGTGAATACGATTAGATTAAATTTTGAATAGATAAAAAAGTTGGAACTAAGATATTGGTGATGTTGCAGTTAAAGTGGAAAGTTTGCTGTATTTGTGCTCCATTCTGGAGTGTAGATATGGCCCACAAATGCAATGACGGGCGAAACCCTGGCATCCCACCTCTAGCCGATCAGCTTCTAGAACTCTGCGACTTCTTGTTAGGAGAGAGTGCGAGCGAGTTTGCTGAAGCTGAAGCTGGGGTGGGAATGTAGAACAGTATGATGCAGAAGGCAGAGGAAAGTTTTTGCTTCAGAACTCTTTAGTAGGTCAGTCTCCTGGGGCTTTTAGCTAGCTGCTTCTGGAGTGGTGGCCAAAATGGTACTACTCACTCTCTCTCTCTTTCTGTCTCTCTGTACTTAAAACAGCACTTGCTATGCATACCAAGTACGAGTGCCATCTGGTTACATCATCTAACTTCTAGCTACGTTCTAGAAAATCCTATTTCACTTGGACAAATTTTAACCGGCAGCCTCAACAATGGTAGCATTAAACCGAAAATGATCGAAGGTGTGTATATGGTGAAACCTGTGTTAGGGATAGGTGTGTCCAATTCAAATGATCGATCCCTCATCCCAAGATGATATGTTTCAGAACACGAGGACGCCCCGTGATCTTTTCATTAGTTAATCTTAGGCTTGGCCCGTCCTGGCTTCAACACGGCATACAGAAGACCAGCAACAATAAGGAAACCAGGAATTGTTGTCATGTCGAAAACCAGATGCACTTTCCGCTCTGTTGTGCAGTGAACTGGATGCAGAAGAGCAATAGTTGCATTCACTTGCTCAGAAAACCTGCACCAGCAACGCCAGTCTACAGCTTAGAAACAACACTAGACCAAGACAACTTGCTTCTTCTTCTCATTAAAGAAACTACCTCTCGTCATCAATTATACTAGTTTTTTGGTCCGCGCTTCGCAGCGGTAAGAAAGTTATTATATTTAAAAATTCATGTGTTCATTTAATTATTTAGTTGGATTGTAAGAAAAAGCTAAGATACTCTATAAGATTTACGTAATTTTTTAATCATTATAAGAAGTTTGCATAATAAGTTTATCTAATTGATACATAAGAAATATTATCACTTCATAAGTTTACGTAACAGTTATACAACAGTTTTACATAAATCTTATGGGATGTGTGATATAATAATAAAAGTATCACATTTGATTAAAAAATTATGTAAAAGTTAGCATACCTAACATAAACTTTATGTAATGCAAATTGCTAACATGGGGAATATTGTAAGTACCACTAATACAATAGTTAATTTACAATTTACAAATTATATCATATTTGATTAAACTATTATGAAAATAATAACTAACTTTACAGAATCTTTATGTAATACACATTTATGGGCTGATCAACGGTTTACTCAATAGTAAACTAATTTTCATTCAAACTTATATTATGAAAGACTTGCTATATATTTGTATCACGTTTTGTTTGAGTGATACATAAGAAATAATTATCCATTCATAAGTTTTATACATAGTGTTTTAACTATTTTAAAAAACATACGCTTAGATGATACGGAATAAATAACTATCATTCCAGTCAATAAGTTTTACGTTAATAAATTTATAAATTACGTAATTGTTATAGAACGGTGTTACGTAAATCTTAGGTAATGTGTGTTCTAATAATAAATCAAATAATAAAAAGTATTGCATTTTATTAACATATAATGTACATAAACCTTTATAATTCAAATTGAGGTGTGAAAAGGAACAGCCACAAAACTGATTAGCGAAGTAACCGGCGGTCCTACACCACTTGGAGAGCCGCACAGGCCGTAGGCCACAAACAATTTTCAGTGGCCAGTCGGGTCTATCATAGAGCGGACCGCATAGTATAATTACAAACATTAGTGAACAGTAATATGTGGCATTCTTCCTATAAAAATGGTAATTGGCTATTTTGTCGTATGAAACAGGGAATTAAACTTGTGTCATTAATTAATTAATTTATCACTAAAAATATATCATATCAACAAAAGCCTTACAGAACACACTTTCCCTTCATTTTTACTATAAAAAAGTCACTTTTCTAAGCAAAAGCTAAAACAAACACACCCTAAGTTTAATTTAGCCAGATAAAGGGCTCTAAGTGGGGTGAGCACTGAGCAGAAAGCCAATACTTTGGGAAATCATATCTCCATATCTCAAAGAATATGAACAGAACTACTGAGCTGGGGGAAATGTCACCTATAGCTAGCAGTGGCACAAACCCTTAATTAGACAAGTCAGTACCAGAATCAATAAGGATATAAGTTTCAGCAGTCGAAATGACTTACACTTTAGTTGCATCCTCCAAGGTAGGAAGAAGTTGCATGGCATCCACATAACGCAGTTCTCCAGTAACAGTTGCAATCTGAAATGCAAGGGCAAGATATCACGACGAGTCAACAACTGATATTTCAAAATCAGGCTTAAAGAGCAAGGCAAAATCAGGGGTTTCTGTATGGACGAGCTAAGAGGGAGTGGTGAGGTCACCCATTTGTTGTTCGCAGATGACACGGTGATTCTTTGCGATGCTTCCACGGATCAAGTGCTTAACATCCTGGCTACTCTTGTTTGTTTTCAAGCCATCACAGGGCTTAAGATCAATCTTGAAAAATCGGTGATGATTGCCGTTGGGGATGTTCCTAATCCTGAGTATTTTGCCGCTGTTTTTGGTTGTAATTGGACTATAGATGTCACGAAGTACCTGGGGTTTCCTCTTGGAGCTAAGGTTAATTCGAGTGCCATTTGGGATCCTATCATTGAGAAATTTGAAAAGCGTTTAGCAGGATGGAAGGCAGGTATCTTTCGCTTGGTGGTCGCTTGGTTCTGAATAATGCAGTTTTGGGAAGTCAACCAGTTTATTACTTATCTTTGTTCCAGGCCCCTAGAGGAGCAGTTAAGAAAATGGAAAGAATTCAGAAAAGGTTTATTTGGTGTGGGGCTAGAGAAGAGCGGAAAATGCCTCTTGTTAAATGGGATTTGTGTAAAGCTTTGAAAGAGAATGGGGGACTTGGAGTTAAGGATTTAAGCTGCTTCAATAAGGCACTTCTAACTAAGTGGCTATGGAAGTATGCTAATGACAGAGGAAGTTGGTGGCGTGAGCTAATCTCCATAAAATTCCCGTCTGATTCGGAATGGCAGAGTAAAAGATGTAGGAACGGATATGGAGGGTCGGTTTGGGCCAATATTACAAAAGAATATGATTCCTTCTGGAAAGTTTGTCATATCGAACCAGGGAGTGGTGCTTGGGTGTCTTTTTGGAAAGACTGCTGGATACCAAACTTAATTTTGTTAGTATCAAGGAATACTCACCCTTCTCCACAAACTGACAACATTGTTATACTTGTTCACGAGTTCTTTCTCTTCAGAGTGGAAGAGCTTGTACGTACTTTTAGCTGTTTCAGGTTAAAGTCTTTTCAGCAGAAGCAACAGACAAATGGATAATAAGAGCACTAAAAAATACACTTCTCCAAATCCACACATAAAACCGAGTTTTGAAACAGAAGCAGTAAACAGTTGCAAAAGGATACATGTCCCTTCCATGAGTAGACTGCGTATTGCAGAATTAACTAGTTGTAGAGACTATTCAAGGGTGGTGATTATGTAACTCCGTGCAATTGTATCCAAATGGAACTGTGAGATATCCCAGCCTTGAGATGTAATGGATAATGGATTGCATCCTACTGACCATATCCAATCCTTGAGATGTAATGGATAACGGAGTGCATCATGAATCAAGAGGGCCATTGGCATTGCTGTTCTCCCCAGAACGGTCTGTCCTGCTGCGGCTTCTACTTCTGTCATTCGCATACACAGATCTTTTCCGAGACCTGGCGGAAGGGGCTGGGCAATTTCCACAATCCAATCTTCGCTTCTCCATTTCTAATTTCGATCTGGGTTCCCTTCGCCTTCTCTTGTTGACTTCCTTTGCCGTTTCAATGATCCGCTCTTCAGCTTCACTAGCTGCTCCTTCTAATTGGAGATTAAGCAATCTGCAGACTTCCAAAGATCGACTAACAAGAACTGAGTAATCCCGCTGAGCTTGCCAGGCCGAAATGGAATATGGAGTAATTGGGTTAAAAGGGATGATTGCAAGGCTACTGTCCTCAGGAGGGCTAGAAGGGGATGAAGGGGGCGAAGGGGCATCAACAAGATCCATCATAAACCCGTGAGAAGCCTGGGGTGATGAGGAAAGGTCGAGGGTGAGGAAGGGATCGGATGACGGGGGACTGGAGTCAGGGGAGTGAGGGTTTGGCGATGGGTTGGGGTGAAAATTAAACGCTGGGAATCGGGGAACAATCGGGAAGCGGGAAAGGGTGGGAAGAGGAAATGAAAGGGTTACGGGGTGGAAGAGGAGAGGTAGAAGAGTAAGGCAAGCTTCGGCAACCATGGATCCATGACACATGTTCCAGTGATTGAGAACAAAAACCGGGTTAGGAAGAGGAGGAGGTTCGGGGAACTGAATAGCAGTAGGATCACAAGCAGGCGGGTAGGGCTGATCTGGGTTGGGGTTAGAGACTAATTTGGAAAGAGTAGGAGGTGAGGAGGGCTTATGGGCTCCGGGAGAGTTAATTGGGCTTAGGGATCGCGGAAAGAACTTGGGTTTAGGAAGTGGGCCGGCCTTGCACACCCAAATCCGTTTGGTGGGAGACACAAGAGGAAGGGTTCTGTCAGCACGCCCGCCATGCCATGTCCCCGATTTCCTTGTATAATTTCTCCGATCGGAGGTGCGATGGAATGCCGAAGGCCAAAATCCAATTGAGACCGCCCGGTTGAGCGAAACTTCGACCCATTTCTTCCTTCCAGTAACGGATGATGACGTTCCACCTTCTGAACTTAGTGTATTTCATCTCCTGAATCCTTATAGCATCCCATAGGGACGGGCAAACCACCATCCAGAGATCGCGCGGATCTTTTTGTGAAACTAAACTCTGGCGAAAGGTCCCAGTTTCTTCGTGCCCAGTGTTCAAACTCAATTGACTTGTCAATCGGCAAGCACACGTTTTGATTGTCATAGAACTCCAAAGCCAAGCATCTTTCCAAAAACTCGAGTCTATCTGACACATCTTCTTCTTCAACTTCGATATATTTGGTGGAGCCAAGATGATTAGTTCTACACAGTCCCTCATCCATGGGGAAGCACTGCCTGACTGCATCGGCAAGGGTATCACAGTTCTTTGAAATGGTAGTGGTAGTGTATTTTCTTATTGGTATTGTTTTTTCGCATAAGTATTGATTATCATGTAATGTTATTGATTTTGCATGTATTGGTATTGGTTAAATCTGCAATGGTATTGGTGTTTTGTGAAATGGTAGTGTTCTTATTTTTCGAATGATATTGGTGTTTTGTGTAATGGTAGTATTTTTAATGGATTGGTATTGATTTATTGTTTTATTGTTGCAACGTTATTAGTTTGGCTGAACGAAAACAAGGAAAAGATTGAGAAAAAAACGAAAAGAGATCTGGCTGAAAATTGTGGAAGTGAGAGAAAGGGAGAGAGGGAAAATTATAGTTAATATATTTTTATAAATTTCCTAAATTGTAATTTATTTAAAAATGAAATTAATAAATATTTTTTCAGGGCGAAATTTGGCTGCTTACTACCAGCTATGCAGGAGGGTGGTCCCCATTTGGTTTGCATGTGGGACGGGGCTACTAAGTGTGGATCGCATTCGGCTGGTGGGATGGTTCTCCTTGACCCAGCGCGGACGATTCTTCTGACTAGAGGAGTTCAATTTTCTCAGATGGATGACCCAGTAATGGTGGAATTGCTTGTGGTTAGGGAAGCTATTATTTGGTGTATGGAGCAAGGCTTGTCGGAGGTCCGCTTTGAGGGCGATGCGAAGGTGGTTATAGACAAGATTAATCAAGCCAATGCGAGAGATAGCCGGTTGGGTGCGGTTCTGGAAGAGATTGGCCATTATTTGCGTACTCACTCTGGTTTTAGTGTGCGTTTTGTAGGTCGGGAGAACAATAGGGTACCTCATTTGGTAGCTAGGAAAGCCCTTTCTTTGTTTCCGACTATGAGTCGCTTTTTTGATTTCCAGACCTAGCTGGTTTCCCGGGTGTAACTATCTTTTTTTTATCAATACATGATATCTTTTGACAAAAAAAAAGCACACCGCTGCTACCAGCCCACGTGGCTACCATTTATTGGTCCATATTAATTTATTTAATTAGTAAATGCTAATTGGGTTTGGACGGGACGGAGAAGCGGAACTTGACGGAATTTTTGACAGGACATGGGACGGAGATGGAGTGAGTACAATTATTTCTCTCATGTTTGTTACTTTCTTTCATGCATCTATAAAATATATGAAGCAGATTCACCACTCCAAATTGCAGCATTTTGAATTTGCTGTCCATAGAGAGCTTCACGGAGGGATAATTCTGACAATTCCACCTCATTTAAATGCTGCTTTGCGTTTTAACTCAAAGCCCAAATAAACTCAACTCACCCCAGCCCAAATAAAATCCAAACACTCAACTCACCCCCAGCCCAAATGAAATCCAAAGCCCAACCCTAAACCTAATGAATTGAACGAGAGAGGCAGCAGCGGCAGCTCTCTTCTCACCTCTCACACGCAGCGGGCAGCCACCACACACCAGCTATCCATCATCCTTGCAATTCGAACGATCGACAGCATCAACCTTTCACCGCCGTCCTTCGCCGCCGTCCTCCGGGATCGACTTTTCTTCGCCGCTTTCTCTTCCCCGCCGCAGCGCCCTCTTCTCCACCTGAAGTCCTGAATTGAAAACAGAAACAGAGACTAAGACGATGCTATTGAAGATTTGAAGCTGGAGCCTCGAAAGAGATAAAGTATACCAAAAAATGACATGCATGCTTAGATCTAAAGCCATACGAACCTTCATCGTCGTCCGCCGAAGTTGTCACCATCGTTGTCTTCAATCGCCGTTGCCGACTGCCGTCGTCCGCCGATTTACTTTCTTCCTTTTTGAACCCTTAATGATCTACGCCCCTTCGAGACCGGAGAAGGAGGAGAGATCTCTACCGTCCATCGTCATGCAGCTCTGTTGTGCTCTGTTTCGAGCTCTACCTTGTGCTCGCCGTCGCTACATCGTTTGTTGGTTGGAAAGAGAGAGAGAGAGAGAGAAAATGAAATTGAGACGACAAAAAATAGAATGAGATCGTGAACAAGCCCGATTTGGGCATCCATACCTCAATTTAGTTGGCGACAACATATGATTTATTATTTATTATGTTTCGATTAATATGAAAGAGTTTTTTTTAAGGAAAAGCATGTAAATAGGAATGAGTGATTGTTGTAATACGAAAGAATTCCTATTTTGAAGATTGATAGCAATTAACAGGGTAGAGAAATTATTGGGTTTCAAGAGTTAGTGTTCTGATAGAAAAAGGTTAGTATCTTAACGATTAATATTTTATAGCAATTAACAAGAAATTATTGTATTGCAATTAGTGGGGAAAAACCTAATAAACCCAAGCAAATAGAGATGCGGTGATTCCTTACTTCCCCCACTTCCCGGTTTCCTTAATTTAATTTACATTTATTAACTTACTTTTTAATCTTCATGACTTATTAAACTATTAATACTTTTTTTCCTTTTCTATTTCAAAATTTCCTTTTCGAGGTTTTGCCGTGTCTTACGTATGTTGCTTTAAAATTTTAATTAGAAAAGGTAAATGTGGTCCAAATTCAAAACCACCGGTCCGGGTTTCTCGATTTTACCGGGTAACCGGTTGGACCGTTCGAGCTCCGGCCGGATGTATTTATATCCGTTTTAAGCCTTCCGCAACCGAAATGCTGCCCGGTCCCGGTTTTGCCCGGTCGGATCGTCCGGTCCGGTCCGGTTTTAATAACACTAGAAAAAACTGGAGATGTGCGTCAGATTATTCGCTGGGTCTTTGGGAATTGGAATATCATTTATGATTTTGCCTTTTTGTTTCCTCCGAAAACAGAAGAAAGATAAAAAACAACTTTTTTTCGATTTTCTTTGTTGGAAGCCGATTTTAGTCTTGGGAGTTGGAAACAATTTCAGAAATGCGGTCTCTATTAATTAGGTGACTTTATAATTTTAGATTTTTTAACTTTTGATTATTCTAATAAACTAAATTGACAGATTATATTTGAGAACTAATTTCTTTTATTTCGGTCAAATGTTCATCTACACTTTGATTGAACATATGAAATGGTTTACCCAAAAAAAACATATGAAATGGTTTATAAGTAGAATTTTGAATTATGGATTTCATGTCTACAATGAAGCAACTTTCAAAATTGGGTGTTTCTTTGTAGATGTTTTAAATTTGTTAACTAATAGTAATGCACGTGTGGTTTATTATACTTAAGAAGTGTGTAGTAATTATAAAAGTACCGGTTCATTAACGGATTTTTAACGGTTTAATAGCGGTTAAACCATTAAAATGCGAACCATTCATTATATCGGTTGATACTCCGGTTCGGTTCTGACAACATTGGGAATTAGACCCCGGTATCCATATGTTCGGTTCGATTTGAATCAAACCGACCGAA